GAGAGAGAGAGAGAGAGGGGGGATTAATAAGACAGAAAAAGAGGTAGGTCTATTTCTCTTCTTCCCATCGATTGGTTTCTGTGGATCTTTCTTGCTTGTTCTCTGCACTCTTTGACCTTTATTGGGTCGATGTCAGGCTTTCTCAGAATTCTGAGAAAGCCTAGGTCGATGTGCTTTTCTATACTGAAACACATAGTGCCGCGTCTCAACTATGACTTGTTCGTTGTTCCTTCTTTGTGAGTGTGTGGTAGGTACGTGGTTGGCGGGTGCTCGGTTTTGTTTTGCTTCTTATTTCCTATCGAACATCTATCGGCCTTATCTCCCCTCCTTCTTTTTTGTGTTAATTGTTACTCTCTTGCAACACCTCTAACATTCGGTACTCGTATGACTTTGTCGTTGTAAGCGCCGTAAGACACTTATTAAAACGAAAAAAAGAAGATGTTTGTGGTAGGTTTATTTCTCCTTTTTCCTGTCGATTGGTTATTGTGGTTCTTTCTTGCTTGTTCTCTGCACTTCTTGGCCTTTACTGTGTCGATGTGCTTTTCTTCTATACTGAAACACACAGAGTTATTATGTCTCAACTATGATTTTCTTCCTTTAAATTGTTGCTTCTTTGTGAGCTTGACCTCTCAATAATGAACACTACTATTTCACGCTGTATGGCTATATTTGTACCGTTGTATCTTTACTCTTCCTCTTTGTAGTCCCTTCTCTCTCTCTCTCTCTCTCTCTCTCTATCTCTCTCTCTCTCTCTCTCTCTCTCTCTCTCACTCTCTCTTGGTAATGGTTCTCCACCCAACACACATTTTTCCACCATGCGCATACTTGATCGCGCTCTCTCTCTCTGTCTAGCCCCCCAATACCCCTCAGATACGGGGAACCACTATCACTAGCATTGCTTAATTTTTTTAACCGCTTTTTTCCTGTATTCAATTTTGCTTCTAACAATATATCTTTGTATTTCACCAGCTCCTCGCCCGTCTCTTCGAAATTATTACTCTTGGGTGGCCCCAGTTGAGCTTCATTCCTCCTCTCTATCGTCTCTGGCCATCGATTTTGGCCTCCCCGAGGGCCGTATATATGACAGTGATTGTCTCGCTCGGTATCCACTGTTTACGCGTGGCTGTACCTGGCTTTCCGTGTGTGTGTGTGTGTGTGTGTGTGT